GGTTTTGTGCTTTGGTCGTTGCTTGTTTTTATGTTTTGTTTCTGTATTTACAGACGTTTCTGTACTTTCTACTACTGCACCCATAACAACAACCATCACCTTCACCACTACAGGTACCTTTTTGTCTCTTTGGTCATTTTTCTAATTGTTTCTGAATAGATTGTTAAGTGATTTACACATTTTCTATTCTATATTTTTATTTTCAGTTGGTCAGACAGTGAAGAGAACAAACACTCCTCCACAAACTCTTCCAGCAGCTGTTCCGTCCATCTATCCAATGTCTCTCCTGGTTCTGGGAGCGGTGCTCTTCCTGGCCTTAGTGCTTCTGGTTGTGCTGTTTTACCAGAACAGAGTGCTCAGGAGAGGTAGAGAGATTCAGAGATCATCTACAATCCACTTTCTGTACATTCTCTAAACATCATTAGTCCTTCAATCTGTCATCAGTCTTCTCTTCTACTGAACTGGCTCCATGTTTCTCTCTGTCTCCCTCACAGTGCTCTCTAAGAGGAGGCGTAAGACTCTGACTGAGGCAGTCTATGAGGAGATCGACCGCAGATACATCACTAAAAGAAATGACTCGACTCAAAGAGGTGAATGATATATGGAGTGTTCCACATGAGGATTATTGTATTAAATTAAAGTATACTTTTTATTATTATTATTATTATTATTATTATTAACTTATTATACTTATTATTAACATTAGACATAACAGAAGACACCAGCTATACCTGCTCAGTCTCACTGATCACAGCGATATTTAATGTTCTTGAATTTTTTGATTCAACAGTTGAACAGAAATGAAATAAATGTAATCAAAATCAGTTAAATGAGAGTTTAGTGTATATTAGATGTAATGTGCAGTAATGTGAGTAGATCTACATGTAGTGCAGTGAGTTAATTCTGCTGATAAGCATCTATTAGACAGCTGAAGTTAAACTGTGTAATTCCTGTAAAACTTCCATTTTAGTACATACAGAGAAACCACACAGCTGCAGGTGTGTGGGTGAGAGAGAGGAAGTTAAAAAGGGAGAGAGTGTTGTGTTTTGGTATGTGTTTGTGTGTGTGTTAGTGATCGAGTGAGTGAGAGTGTTGTATCTCAGAGCGTCCTCTACGGTCTGAGACTGCACTGATATTATTTGCTGTAACCAACCCAGTTCACAGTGATCCACAGCACTCAGAGGATTGTGGGTGGTTCTGCATTCTGAACGTGTTTGATGACTCTTCTGCTCTCCTCTAACAGGAAGAATCCTCTCTGAAGAACAGCATTCAGGATATGAGGATGTGGATGAGGAGCTTCTCTCAGGTAAGAGGACCAAAACGTGTGTTTATTAAACAGCCGGAAACTGACAAGCATCACAATCCCCATTTAATAATTAGAGAATTCATATAAATTCATGATTCTGTCAGTATTATGCAAAGAATGTTTACAATAAATCCAATATTTGAAATAAATATGCACATAAATTTGTTCTCTGCAGTTTATAGTCAGATGTGTTTTATTTGGCTTTCTTGTAGGGGTGAAGATAAAATTGATACACTATAATATTGAGATATTATGTGCCTTGTTAGAATAATATTTTTCCAAAAGCCTCATCAGGGATGCAGAAAGTATAAACTACACTAAAGTAAAAGTATAACCACTGTGTCTAAATCTCACTCAATCAAATATGGATGCTAGGAGCCAAAAAAGTATCAATATTTAAAAATCAAATCAAGCAACTGAAGTATATAAAAGCAAAAATGAAATGTTTAGCAAGCCCCCCCAAAGTAACTAATGTTGTAATGAGCTGATCACACTCTGCTTCACACAGTTTGGCCTGCCTTGTCTTAAAGGGGCACTTCAAAAAATGTAACTATTGCTGCATGTGTTGTAAACATGCCTACTCACCTTCTACAGTGATATATATATATATATATATATATATATATATATATATATATATATATATATATATATATATATATATATGTGGAATATGTGGAAATATGTAAATGTGTTGGTTTTCGTGACATCACAGAAACAGTGAACTTAAAACAGGCTGTTTTTGCAGCGGAGTTTCCGTAAATGGACTCTTTGAATCGGGATTTAAATGGTATATTTTAAAAGTTTATTGTTTACATTCGACATCAGACTCTTTTATTTCATAAAGGTGAAGCAAATTCAGTTACATATGATAAGGGACCCTTTAAAATGGCAGCTATTATCTCAGCTTATCAGTACAATGAAAATTGCACTTTACAACTTTTAAGCTCAATTTTACTAAATTTAATGATTACTGATCCTCTGCTGCATCTTGTGGTAAGAAAAAAAAAAGTATTGTGATGATCAAAACAGTGTTTCCAAAAGACCTGAAATGCAAATATGTGATAAACTGGTAAATTAAAAAAAATTGTGATAAAAGTTTAATTGTGATGAGCATTTTTAAATATTCCTTTATTATTATTTTATTATTGTATTTAAATATTCTGTAATTGCCAATTATCATGATTTCCTTACACTCTGTTCTCTGAATTGCAAAATAATTAGAACATGTTCTTACAGTCACAAAATTAAATGTATATCTACATTAAATAAGGTTTCCTGTATATCTACATTCTAAGAGGTGTGTGTGTGTGTGTGTGTGTGTGTGTGTGTGTGTGTACGTGTGTGTGGTGTTGAGTGTTGTTTTTGAGAGCGCCCTCTACTGTTTGCACTAATATTATTTCATGTCATTAACCCAGTTCACAGTGATCCACAGCTGTGTTGTGGGTGGTTCTGTATTCTGAATGTGTTTGATGTTCTGTTCTGCTCTCCTCTAACAGGAAGTGTCCTCTCTGAAGAACAGCATTCAGGATATGAGGATGTGGATGAGGAGCTTCTCTCAGGTAAGAGGACCAGAACATGTGTGTGTTAAACTCTATTCAACTGACAAATATTAACCATTAAGAAACGAGAATTTCTTGGTGTAGGTTTATTTTTTTCCAACGCTTCAGTCTAGAGTAAAACCAATAATGGCACTGGAGGTGGGTAGTAACTAATTATTATATTCCTTAAGGCACATGTACTCAGTAAGATGATGAAGTATTTGTACTTTCCTGATTTTTTTCAAAGGATAATTCATTTTACTTCTGCTCACAATATATTAGTGAGTAAAGAAATCTACAGTTTACTTTTACATTTTACTTTTATATTCTTACATTCTTTGTCTTTAACATTTAGTTACTGATTTATTTTTTATGTGTTTGTGTTTTTGGGGGATAGCATCTATACTGCTTTGTGATTGGTCACTCCTCTCACTACTGAGGTCTATAATTACATTTTAGACCAAAAATATGCCAAAGAAGAGAATAATAGAGCCCAACAAACTACAGGTCCTATGCTGATAGATGCTGAATATACTAAGAAATGTCACAGCAGTTTTACCAGTTACTCAGTGCTTTTTATCAGTTAATCTGTTTCTCTGATTAACGATTTGATTCATCTGTACTTTAAAAGTTTCTGTCAAAAATGATTTCCTCCATAATCTTAATGGGTTCAGGATTTTGAAAATTGTCATGTAAAAACTGCTCTGAATGTTTTTTTTCTTTTTCTTTTTTTTTTTTGAAATATAATTAAAACTAATATAAATAACATTAACAACACATTTTCTCTTGTTGCAGAAAAGTCTCTGACTGGAGTAAAGGCAGAATATTATGATGATGTCACTACCAGTGGCCTGATAAGTGAGTTCTTTTATTAATTCATCACCTGATTTTATCTTTACATTAAACCACAATGTAAAAATATGATTGAACTGTTTGTAAAGTCAGTCTGCTTTGATTTAGGTGAATCAGCAAAAGAGGACACAGCAGAGAGCTATGATGATGTCATCACTACTGGACACATCTCTGATAGTGTAGCAGGTGTGTCTCTAATTTGGAGTTTTACTTTAGAAAGAAGTTGAAATTAAGTAGAGATAAAAAAGTTCAGAACAAATGCTGTAAAAACAGAATAACCAAATATTCATTAACTGTAATAACTAATTTATGGAGCTTTACTGCCCCCTACAGATACAGTCCACAATTACATGCAGGGAGATATTTTGGTTCCAGCAAATCATCATGTCATCATCATGTCCACAAAATCTGGACAAAAATTGATTATTAAATTTATTACATTGTATTTCATAAATAATTTACATAGATGAGCCAAAACATTATGACCACACAAAAACATTAGCAGCAGGTCGTTGGACTTGTCGGCACATCCCACAGATGCTTGATCGGATTGAGGTCTGGGGAATTTGGACGCCACTGCAACACCTTGAACTCTTCTTCATGGTCTTCAAACTATTCCCTAACACTGTGTGCTGTGTCATTCACTGGGCACCAAACACCCTGTTGCTGGTATCTGGTTTGTCCCTCCTCTGACCACTGCCGACAGGTACTCACCACTGCTGACTGGGATCACCCCACATACCTTACCATCTTCTGACCATAACTGTTTGACTCTTGTCAAAGTCAGTCAAGTCTTCATGTCTGCCCATTTCTTCTGCATTCAACGTGACGACTATGAGAACCGACTGTTCGCTTACTGTCTAATATCTCCCAGACCTTGACATGCACTGTTATAACATAATCAACATTATTCACTTAAGTGGTCATAGCGTTTTTACTCATCTGTGTCTATACATATTATTATGTAAATAAAACTCAAATGGAGCTCAAATTATGAACTCAATCAATAGTAGTCTCATAAAGACAAAACATTCAGTAAAATATACCTGAAATACCTGACAAATCTAAAATCTGTATCTTTCTATATGCTTTAAATATCTCTGTGTTTTGGTGTAGAGGACGTAGCAGAGAATTATGATGATGTCATCACTGCTGATCAGAGCTCAGCTGTTGTAACAGGTTTGTAATGTAACAACACTGTAATCTCAAACATGAACACAGTCACTGATGATACTGAAGCTGATTTTAATGTCATTTATCTCTACATTTTGACAGAAGACATGACAAATAACTATGATGATGCTGTTACCGCTGAACCAAACTCCAACATTATGACAGGTACATTTTTCTTAATGTGGACAAATAATTTTAAGCTGAAGCTTTAACAAGGTAAAAATGTCAGGTTTGCTTCTTATTGATATAATTTATCTTCCCATGTTCGTTTAGTGGACACACCAGAGAACTATGATGATGTCATCATAGCTGAACAGGATGTAGGAGGGGTAAAAGGTAAGTGGCTGATCTTGTTGTTTATGTTGCTACATTGCAGATTTACATGAGTGAGGAGGGTGGAGTGAGAGATTTACATCAAGTGTACAGGAAATCTGCTGAAAACATGTTTACATTATCTATGGCTTATGATATATAAACTGTGTCCTCAGACTCTTTTTACTGCACTGTCCATTCACACATGAAGTGCAGCCACATGTATTCATGTACTCAGTTCAAATGACTAATTGATCTTATTAACCTGCACACTCTGAGTACAGTTTGTGTCAGTGACTATGAAGTGTGCACTTGAATAATTCTTCAGCAGAGTTGGGTGGGTCATTCTGTAATACTGAATATCAGTAGTGCAACACTGTCAGTTTGGCAAAAGTAATCAGTCCTCTCTACATCTACACATGTATAAAGTCTGCCTAATGAATAACTTTCTAATGTACAGTAACTGATGTATTTTGTCAGAATTTCTTCTTTTTCTGTTTAAGTTTGTTGGAAGACATGACAGCCTTGCATGAACAATCACAAGGCTGATGTCACTTGTGCTGCCCACACAGCTTAAACACAGCTACACTGTAAAAAATGGCTCATCAGTTCAACATAAAAAAAATACTTAATGTGGTAAAAAGTAAATTAACTAATTTTATTTAACCTAAATAAATTTAACCTAAATTCTTTTAATCAAAGTAATATTTTAGGTAGGACTGATGAGTTGTTTTTTCCAGTGTGGGTTCCCCACCATCTCACTCTTATTGAGCAACTTAGCAAATGGAAACTACCCTTGAAAACATATGGAAACTAGCAACATAGCACCTCTATACCTCTATCTCTAAAAAACAGCATTTTAAATATTTTTACACTTTATTCACTGGGTCAGTGTGAATCATGACGTATGTTCTTTCCATATAATTACATTATAACTACGTAAGTGAAACACATTATATATATTATAGTTAGCTTAACATTTTCTCTTGATAACAGGTGGTTGGACGAGGAGTTCAACATGAAATTATCTGTAAATATTATTATATTTGTCAGAATCAGGTAAAAAAGATGTGAGCAAAAGTAATTAAATTTTGAAAGAAGATTAAAGGAAAACAAGATTTTTACCTTTTAACTGATATGATGAATTGTGCCTAATATGACAAGACACATGAACCAACAAGGTAAAAAAGGTCCTTTTTGATTTCAGGCTGAGTTTAATGAGCTGAGCTGCAGCCTGCAGTACTAAACAGAACCTACACAGTGCTCTATTTACTGTTTTACACATACAGTGTGCTATAAAATAAAGATGTGTTATTTGAGTTAAATGTACTTATTTTCCAGACTATGATGACGTGGAGGAGGAGCCTCAGACAGAGATGAATCATGTGACTGAGAGACCACAGCCAGTGTCTTTCCTCAGGAAACTACATTCAAACTTCTTCAAACACAAGAAATGATTTTATCATCACAAGTCAAAATGTTTCATGGAGAATAAATGAGATAGTGTTTTAAACCCCCTAAATCCCCTAATTTATGTAAACAAATTACAAATTGTTACTACTTTCTTTGACTTTTTCCAACCTTAGAAACATTTACTGACATCTCATCTCATTAAATTATTCCATCAAAATGATTATGATCGTACTTTGATCTCTTAATCCAACTTTTTTATCTTCATTTTGTATCGGATGTGGTCATCATTTGCCAATAGCGTCATTTTTTAATTAAAATTTAAGGAAATGATGGTTTGGATTGAATGTATTAAAGTAAAGGGCTGTTCATTTTCACTGTAGATCATTTTGATGGTAAAGAACTGGAAGATGTTCTGGTCAGAAGTGAATGTTCAGTGATCATCAGTCAGAAAGAGGAAAGTGTTGTTTCACTGTAACTGACTTGTATAACAGTTTTTAATTTTCAGTGTTGGCACTAAAATCAAGCAGCCACTTATAACTATTTATTGTATTTGTTTTGGTCATCCCCTTAATATAATAAAATGATAAAATAATCAGTAGTAAAACACAATTACTCAAACAATATTTTTACTCTTGTTTTTTTTTTCAACCCAAATAAATACCACGAATAAAACAACACAAGGCAAAAATTTAGGCTAAATAAATTTACATGTTTAAAATAAATACTTATTCTGATACTTTAAATGAAACAATGCAAAGCAGTGTTTTGTTTAAATGAACAAACATAATATTTTACATCAATTCAAACCTCAAAAACACTTCAAATCCACTTTTGCCCAGTTCCACTTTTTACTTCTTATATTGTAAAAAAATGCTCTGTATAAAAGTGATTTGTTGTTCTCTTTCAGTTTCTTTCGTAACATAAACACATTAGAGATTAAGTCTCAAATGGCTTCATAACCAATTTATCTTAGGAACGCAGAGGGCCACACATGGGTGAAGTCATGTTTAGATCATGTGACTACAGGGGTGCAAACTCACTGTAGAAGAAAAATATTTGTATGCTCACTGGTTAAAGCTATGCTAGTTACTAGTATGCTAGTAACACAAAGCAGTACCTGACTGGTGTGTTGCTGAATATTGGCATTGTGTTTTCATGAAGGACAGAGGACTTCAGAGTAATGCTAAAATTATTTGTTTACAGCTGGAAAGATAAGTTAATGAATTAAACATACAATTTTGATCTCCCTCACATCTTTGATAGATCAAATACTTTATTTATTATCAGGTATTGCGGACACAACCAAAACAATACACTGTTTGATTGTTTAAAACAGTATAGCAGTATTTTAGTAATAGCATACATGCTAATAGCATTCCTGCTACACACTGAGCAATATCTTTAATCAATCTAAAAATAGAAATAATTACAGTTTCCATTCTGCAGCACAGAGTGTTTATGTAATAGTGGTTGATTCCCATCAGGAAGAGTAAATAAGAGTTCACTAAGCTGTGTTGCTGTCAGTCTGACACTTTCTCAGTAATGTCAGATTTACCAAGTGAGAGCAAATATACAGGATAATTTACATTTAAAGACAGAAAGAGCTCAAACTCAATCATCACACAAAGCTGCTCTGTGCTATATGTCTGCAGTGTATTGAGTCGATTAAGCTTGCAATGTCTCAAGTTACTCTGTAAATAATTCTAACCATTAATGCTCCATGTGTTGGTTTATGCTCCACATTTCCATTCTGGGGTTCTGGAACTGCAGCACTGAACAATCTAAGCATAATGGCTCGTCTAGTTTGAAAATCTGACCTGGTTAATGTTGCTCTAATTCAAACACAAATATTCACAAAAAAAAAAATTCAACAATCTTGAGTTCAGCATTGAAAGAACATGTTTTGTGGCTGACCTTTTTTCAGGTATGTATCTAAACAACCACTGAATTTTTCATTCCAAGGCGGTAGAACGTGACATCGGAGGAGTTAAGAGTCACAGTGCAGCCTATTTAAACAGCTTTGTGTCTAATTCAACAGAGGTAGTTCAGTCTTATTACTAGAAGCTGGCATCAGATCTCTATTCTAGAAAACTGAGATTTTCAGAACGTGTTCCACCTTCAGACAGCTCTGTAAATTACTGCACATCCAAACCACAAAATGGTTCTCAAACCCTAAACACTAGAGCTCCACACAGCACCTGTAGAACCTTTACTGGCTGAGCTACTCAATAACATATGTATGAAACTTGGACATACATTTTTCATTAAAATCACTCATAACTGTAAAACTGAAATAAATTGAATGGTTTAATATTTGTCGCATGTCCGTTTGAAATATTTGTATTGCTATGAAAATAAGTGGGTTGTGTTTATGAAGAATATTAATTTATTCACACAAGACAGATTTGCTTAAAAAGAGTGTGGTGATTTTTGGTGTTCTCTCCACTAAAACCTCCAGCACTGTGAGAGCCAGACCAACTCACAGCCACCAGCAGAATCCATCAAGTGAAAGACACTTTATACTAAAACACATACCTGAATTTCATGTGCTACTCACAAGGTGTGTAACAGAACACAACCAGCCAGACACTCACTGTAAAAAACAAGAAATGAGGCTTTACTTGAAAAAGGTTTGACAGTACTAGTGGATAGTCAGGTGGTGGTCAAATTTTTTGAATCAAAAAAATTGTCCAGGATACTCACAAAGCAGTGTTGAGATGATGAAAAAACAGCACGTGTCCAGATATATAAAGAATAATCCATGGTGGAATGAATAAAGATCAGGAAAAGAATTAGCCACTTGCCCTGGCTGATCAAGAATAATGAGTCACTGAGTCCAGACTTGACTAAAGAAGGTGCTCAACATGGGATAGAGTCCACATGGACATGATGTTGGATGATTACTGGAACAGCATTCAGCAATACAGTTCTGCAGGTCACTTATAATTAATAGAGTCTGGGAGTGAAAAGTAAACAAGGACACATTTCAACACTAAGACATCATCAGCATTTGTTTCACCTCTGTCGACTAGTAGCCTAAATGCGCAGATGCCTCCAGTCAATCAGACACCTTAGCAACAACTTAGAAACACCCTAGCAGCCAATTGTTACATCCTAGTATGCACCATGAAACAGCCTAGCAGCCATCAAGTGCACCCTTGCAACCACCTACAAACACCCTAGCAACTGCCAACAAACACCTTAGGAACCACCTAATACATCTTAGCAACCACATAGTTCACCTTAGCAAGCATAACAACCTGGCAACCACCTTCTGCACCTACACAGTAAAAAAATGAGTTTGCACAAGAAAAAAATTCTAATACCAATTTCCCTGGCTTTATCTTGTTTGGTCAACTTACATAAATGACTGATATCTGTCAGCACTAAAATATTTAGCTGAGCTAACATAAGAATATTTGTTGTACTAATGTACAGCTAGTCTCAAGCAAAGAGGAGAAGAAGTACAACACAGGTGATCACAACTGATCAATCAATAATCTGTCACTGTTCTAAGAAAGTAATATATGCAATATCATATATTAAGACACTACATGCTGCATCATGTTGTCGGGACGAAGTGCAATTCCCGCTCGCTCTGAGCCCCAACATGTGGAAAATTAAAACTAATCTGTTCTATAACTATGTTTTAGTTTGTTAATAAATCCAGTTGTTTGTTCTCATCATAAATGCAGAATAAAATAAAGTTCAGTCAAAAATAAAAGAAAGTTGAATAAAAGACTTCAGCCGTAGAGTTCTTTGTGAAGGACGGAAAAGGCCCTCTTCATTTATTGAGCTTCAGGTGGCAAGATGGCTCCGGACAACGAAATGAAATGCACAATACAGAGACATCATTTTTTATACCCTGTTTGGGGGCGATGAAGCAATCGCCCCCTCCCTCTCACCTTTTCTTATTTCACACTGGTTCCCATTATTTCTTACTTTTACACTTCAGTTGGAAACCCTTATTTCAACCTGTACATGTCCTTGAATTTTTTAAAAAAAACTTGCATGCTCAGCTATTCCAAGCTACTCCCATCGTCTCAATGTTTTTAATCAAATTATGTTTTTGAAACTGGTTCCAACACTGATACTGTCCGGTTCCCTATCAGCTTGGCGCACTCTTTACGGTCAGCTTGCCCTTACAACAAAGCACTAGCTTCTAGAAGCTTCAGAAACTCTCCATTGCGAAATCCCTCAACCTACATACAGCAAGGCCTATCCTTAGTGAGAGGATTTATACACTTTTGTTAATGCACTTTTTGGTATATGATTATGGATTTCTTATTGATTATGGTAGTAATATATTCATTATAATTCCACAATGTCTTGAAAAGTTCACAATTCTTAAAGCTCACATGTGTTCAGAGGTAAGCATAAATGAACTGATAATAGAAATCCTTTAGAAACAATTGCATTAACTGCCTAAGCAAAATATAAACAACTTACACACAATCCAGACATATTGAGTGGAATAGCAGGTAACAGCTACAACATTGTTGACAAAAAATACAAATTAAATTACACCACTGTGCTTGATTATATGTGTACACTTACTGGCCACTTTATTAGGTAATGCTGCCTTGTATTTACTTACTTTTCTATTGAATCCGGTCTATTTAATATATATGTGCACTTTGTAGTTCTGCAATTGCAAATTGTAGCTGATCTTTTTCTCTGCATACTTTTTTACCCCCGTTGCACATCATTCATCAATGATCAGGACCTGCCAAGACCGCCAAAAAGCAGGTATTATTGGTTAATTCTCAGCACTGCAGTGATACTGATATAGTAAGTGTGGTACTAGTGTATCAGATACAGCAATGTTTTAATCACCTCAATGTCACTCCTGGGCTGAGAATAGTCCACTGATGAAGGACTAGAGGATGACCAACACAAACTGTGCATCAGCAGATGAGCTATCGTCTCTGACTTTACATCTACAAAGTGGACTGACAAGGTATGAGTGTCTAATAGAGTGGACAGTGAGTGGACACAGTGTTTAAAAATTCCAGGAGCTGTGTCTGATCCACTCATGCCAGCACAACACTCACTAACA